GTGTGTGTGTGTGTGTGTGTGTGTGTGTGTGTGTGTGTGTGTGTGTGGTATCCCCTCATCATGCCAACCTGGAGACAGATGGCCGGCTTCTCGTGTACGCTTGGGGAAATCGCTCGAGCCGTGAGGCAAAAATTGTCACCCGAAAAGTCCCCCCCCACCCGAACTAGCCCTCCTCGGCCCCCCCCCTGGGCGACTTCTTTTACAGCAGAGAGGGTGCCAGAGCAAGACGGAACCCTGCGGACAAAAAGGGGGAATAAAGGAGGAGGGAGTTTTGATGGACGATGAGGAAGACGAGTCGATAAGGAGGAAGGAGGGGGGGGTGGGGGTGGGGGTGGGGGGGGTCGGAGCGAGGAAAGCAATGGCCGTGGACTTTGGCGGCGTAATGCATCACCTCGATGCGTTTTGAAAGGCATTAAACTTTCGTTTATGGATCTCCTCTGAGGGATGGAGGGATGGAGAGAGAGAGAGAGAGAGAGAGAGAGACAGAGAGAGAGAGAGAGGGGGGGGGCTGCAGACAGACACTAGCATTATCATGCCTTCACCCCCCCCCACCCCTCCATCCCCTCCATCCCGCCCCTCCTTCCCAAGCAAGGGCCCCCAGAACGTGCCTGTTGCTATGGCAACCCGCTTGCCAGCCCTCTCTCTCTCTCTCTCTCTCTCTCTCTCTTTCTCTATCTCTTCCTCTCACACTTTCACTCCCCTTTTCTTTTTCTTGTTTCTTCTCTCTGTCTCTTTCTCTCTCTCTCTCTCCGACATCTAAATAAAATCTGGGCTATTTATAGAGCGATGCCAGCCACACACACACACACACACACGAGCAACACTCGTTGCGCACGCTTTGATGCGTCGTTGTGTGTATGTGTGTGTGTGTGTGCACACCGCTGCGCGTCCATCTGTAAACGAGGTCCACCTATTGGTTTTTTGTTTGTTTACCCACGCTCATTTCAGGAGATTATAAACTCCGAATTGTGTCAGAGATGGTTAGATAGTCGTACACGGGTGTGTGTGTGTTTGTGTGTGTGCGTGTAGAAACAATCCTCCTGTTGCTGCCCGATCGGCGTCAGGTTTATCTTGACAGTTACCGCAGAGGGGCTCTCCAGGCCGGGCTGATAAAAAGTCAGCTCCAAATCCAGAGGCAGACAATGAATGGCGCAGTCCTTCCATTACGGGGTTGCGATAGCTCTCCAACGGCTATCGCAAGACTCTCCCCGGGTCTTGCCTCTAGTACTTCTAAGATGATCTTTCGCAGTCCCGCGGATAGGATATCTTTTAAATGAAGCCTTTTAGAGCCTTTTTAGAGAGGGACGCTATTCGTCCACGCGTCCAATAAGTGGGCGGTGGTTCGTAGATCTAGGGGATAAAAGACCAAATCTCTTACTTGTATTGCGGGGATAAAAAGGGAATCCGAAAGCTCACCGAGCAGATGCACGCGGCCCGTAGGGGGGGGAGTGGGGGGTAAAAGACACCCGGCGGAACTCGTCAGGGTTTCGCTTCGGCGTGGGTCCCTCCCCGACGCTGCAGGTGGGATGGGGGCGGGAAGGGGGGTCGCAGGTCATACGGCGTCCCGTAGAGCTCGCGGAACTATTTTACAGGCCCCTCGTTCCAGAGGAGGCGTAGGGGAAAACAAAAGGGGGGGCTAGAGAGGGTCAGAGGGCAAATATTTTTCCCCCAGGGGGGGCCCCCAAACTCGAAGCCCGAGCGATGCGTCCAATGCTTTATGTGTGTGTGTGTAGAGATTCGGTGTTTTTCTTATGAATCCCAACTTTTACGAGTCTGGGTTTAAGGGCATGGAGAGGGTAGGCAAGTCGGCTACCCGCTATCTGCACGCAACAACCTTGTCGACGCAGCGGGGGTGGGGGGGGGGGGAGGAGGTGTCTGCGAACCCAGCTGTTAAGCCAGGATACGCATAGATAAATCGAGAGAGTGTGTCTTTTGTGCGCGTGTCTTTTTCCTGCTCTCGTATCAGGATCCAATACCAGAGCTGGTATTTACTTTAGACTAAATCGCTCTATTATGACTTTAGTGGTGGAGGATAGCTGGATAAGTCCGCCTGTGGGATTGGCCAAAAGAGATTTGGCAGGTTCTTTTTCATTTTGCGTGTGGATTCAGGTTGAGATTGACTTTAGTAACATCTGGACCAGGTTCGGCGAGCTAAAATGAAGATAAACACATACCTGTTTAGCCCCGGGTCTTTGACTTTTGCAGGGGTACTCGAGGCAATAACTTGTTGTTTCTATGTACATCCATTCTATGCACATTATTTACTATCATTATCTATTTCTTCCTTGGTGGAATTTGGACAGCACTTTGCCATCACACCTTTTTGTATATATAACAACAAATACATCACAATGCTCCTTAAATCCCTATTCCAAGATTTAACATGATTTTTTATCTACAATCACGACAAAGGGGGATAATCTGATCCCGTGTTGTGACAGCATTGTTTTGTACGTGCTGATGTTTTCCTAAAACATTGTCACAGTCATTTGCCTGATGTGTAATTTAACTCCTATTTGTGCCACTCCCGTAGATAAGTGCCTCCTGCACGCGCAACCTCGCGAGCTGAGAGAAAAGAAGAAGAAGAAAAAAAAAGAAAAGAAAAAGAAAAGAAAAACGCCCAATAATGGAGAACGCCACGCCTCCATCCGTGGGGTTACCATGGCAAACGCCGTCGACGTCACCATTGGAAGGCATGCGCTCTATAAGTACCGGCGGTTCTGCCGCGGCGGCTCGCGAGCTCGGATGTGTGCTCAGGAGGAGTGACACGTGCGGGAAGGGAATAGAAACATTTTTTTAAAAATTCAAACCAAAAAAAAAAAAAAGTAACCTGCCCGGCCGGGAGTTTTATATCATTTTTGTGTACTTTTAGAAGAAAAAAAAAAAAAACTCAAATTTTGCTTGAACTGGGACGAAATTAAATCCCCATATTGGCAACCATGGGACGAGGAGTGAGTATAACTCTTTTGTTTGACTTCGAAACAGTTTTTATTCGAAGATGTGCAGTCCGTGCCGTTGAATAGAGCGGAATAGAGGATTTTTTAAAACTTCGCCATTCAAACAAGTGGTTTGCCAAATCGATGCGGACGCTGCCTCCGGGTTGGAGGGGGGGAGGCGGAAGCTAACATGTGTTACTTACATTTGAGCCACATTTTTATTTATTTATCTAAAAATGCCTGTTGCTCGAGGGGTCACTTCGAGGAAACTTCCGCTTTTCGACCTTTTGACGGCAAACGAGACTGGAGGAAAAAAAAAAAAAAAAAAGATTCCCAAGAAGTGAATTTCCTTCTCCGTAACAAAAAAAATGCTTTCTAACGGTTCGGTGGCGGGTTACGTAACGGGGGGGGGGGTACGTTCTCAAACGCCCCGGACTGTCAAAGTTTTTCAGTTTGGGAAAACGGCGTTAGCTCTGCGGAGTAGCAAACAATTTAGCCCCCCAAAAATAAGGGGTTTGGGTATTCGAAGGGGGCTAATTTAATTGTAATTTACGTCGAAAAGTGGTTCTCTTGACGTTTGGAAGTCCCTGAATGCAGCAGTTAACGAGGCTAACCGTTTCCAGGAAGAGACTATAGCATATTTTGCTTTTTTGTTGTTGTTTTTGAAACCTTTTAGCTTATTTACGTTCCTTGTTTTGATACTTTGTGATGTTTGCTTGGAAGTGGGAGGGATATGTGGAAAACACCCTGTTTTGGGGTTTTTTTTTTGGTCTGCTGGAGGACTTGGAACTCTGGAAAATGTATTTTAAACTTAATCGAGACAGATCCGCTCTCTTTCTGGGGAGAAATATGAGATTGCCAATAACAGAATTAGCATTTCTTATGGTCGGAGGTCAGCAAGATGGGTTTAGTTTTTTTCATATCAATGTCTTAACAATGAACATGTCACTTACAGCCACTTAAAGTTATCATTAAATGCTTTAAGTGAAGTTTTTGGCCATTCCCCTCCTCTTGTTAGACGTAATTAACCCTCTAATCTTTAACTTAACTGTCAAGCCGTTTATCATGAAGCCTGTTTTCTTTCAGCTGTCAGTCGGGGAGGTTTCCATAAATCACGGCAGCTATCGCTCTTAACTCTTTTAACTTTAACATTTTCTCCGGGGCTTGACTACAATTTGAAACCTGACGGATGAAGAAATTTTTTTTACCGGTGGCTGCCACACCCTGCCATGGTGCGCAACAACAACAAAAAAAAAACAAAAAAATAGACGACTCATTAGGAATGGATGGAGAAAGCGGACGAGTGAAAGGCGGAAAGAGAGATATATGGCCGGTTTTCTTCCTCTGGCTTCAGAAAAATCTTCGCTCGCTTGCTTTCAGCCTCTTGGCTGCTGCAGTTTTTTTTCTCTCCTCTCTCTTTCTCTCTCCGTCTTTCTCTCTCTTACTCTCTCCTCTTCCCATGTGTGATGAAAGCCATGCCCTGCCCCCATTCACCCTCCCTCCTCTTCCCCACTGCGTCTCACCCCCCCTCTTCTTCAGTTTTCTCTTCCCCTCCGATACGTTCAAAACGTAGAAGAGGTAACCACCACACGGCCTTCCTAGTGTGAGGAGGTGAGGGAGGAAGGGGGGAGGAAAGGAGGAAGAGGAGGAGGAAAGGGACTTGTTTTGCTGGAATGGAGGAGAGAAACTGGGGCAAAGTGTGATCAAAGCTTGTTTTTTTTCCTTTCTTTTTTTTCTCTCGTCTTATTAATGTTTCAAACCAACATGTCTCTTATCATTTCAAACATTAGATTACACCCCCCCCCCCATTTGATGGACTTGTTCATGCACGAGAGGTCAGGAGGATTGATTTGATTCGGAGAAAACTGGGGGGGGGATTCAGGAGGATTTTTTAGGGTGACACCAACTGCTTTTCAAGGCACCGAGGAGCAAATCCGACTGAATATTTCATGACGTCACCTGACCGAAACGCTCCAAAACGTTCCCTTTTTTTTCTCGCAAATGTCCAGGAAATCTCTGACTTTTATAAAAGTACAAGTTTAATTTAATAACATCAGCTGTTTTTGCTTCCTGGGGGAAAAAAACCCAAGCACCCCTAAACCAGTGAGATCAGTTTATTAGTGTCTTACCCAGAACTCCTAAATCTAATTTCCTTGGGTTTATGAGGCAGGTGAGTGCTCTGAAATCCTCATAAATCGCTCGCAATTTTGAGTTTTCCCTCATTGCGAGGAGAGAAGGGGAAATCCGAAATCCAACCGATCTTTAGGGAGATGGCCCGGGATCAAGAGAATATGTTCCGGATTAAAGCTCCCGCTGTTAACGTCTTCCCTCTCGTTCCCTTCACCACCAGAAAGTGACTTTAATCTGAGCCAAAAGGGGGGGGATACACCTTCACATCCTTTCCTCACAGTCCGTTTCCTCCCCTCGTTCTCCGGGTACCTGCTTTAACTAACTTCCCTCCGTCCCCTCTCCCCCCATTTTTTTTCCCGGGGATTTAACATTCTTTCCGCTTGGCAGTCGTCGCGTATTAACGGGGGCTTTTGTCACACGCTGCCCCCTTGTCTGTTTCAGAACACTGTGTACTGCCCCCCCCCCCCAGCCCCCACCCCTTCCCAAAATCAGTCATTCTTTCTGCTTTCTTGTCGTTCTGTCTTTTATTTATACGTTTGCCGTTTCTCTGGCTATGTCTCTCTTATCCAACACCCTTTACTTAGGTCCTTATTTCCCTTTTTCTTTTTCCCAAATACCGGCTTTCACCAGTTTTTTTCCCGTTTGGCTGAGCAGCATGGAGCTTGAGCATGTTTTTTTTTCTTTTCTTTTTTTTTTCCCAGGTGGTGCGTCCATCCGTTGGCTCTGTCTATGCCAGCCTCTCTAGAAATCTTTCGTCCCCAGCAGATGCGAGTTGTGAAGTTGAATAGTGAAAAAAAAAAAAAAAAACGCGTGACAAACTGGGCCCATCTCTCTTCAGGAAGTTGGTGGAGGTGTGGCTTCCAGCCAAATGTTGTCGAAATGGTTCGGGATACCCGAGCGGCGTTTGATTCGTTTTTCAGAAATATGGCGTTCATCCCCAAAAAATAAACACCTCGGTATATTTAGATCTTTTTAAAGGAGAGTTTAAGAGTAACAGTTTACGATTATATCAACCTATCTGTTGATATAATCAACAGATTATCCATGTCCATATCGAGAAATCCTTTTTTTTTGTTTAAATGTGAGCTCCACACCAAGGTTTTGGTCCAATTTAAATCTTTTTTCCCTCTTTTTCCAACCTGATTGAGCATGCTTCAAAAATTCCAAAAGGAAAAGCATCATGCACATCTTCCAATCAGATGCTCCTAACTCACTTCCGTTTGGACTTAGCAGCCTGTATTTTTTTTTTACACAACTTTTTCTCCTTTTTTATGGCATACTATGTTATTGGTAGAACATGGATGAGCGCTCAGCGATCTGGACCCCAAGGAAATGTTTATGCAACAAGGAAGTGGGGGTGTGACAAGATCTTGGGACTGGATGAGCGACAGATAAGACACTGTTAAAAAAAAAAATCAACACTAGTGTCACAGCACAATGTGCACTTGTTTGTTGGAATTGCAGTCATTGGAAATGTAGTTGGCGCACAATTATTAGTGTACCCGCATTATTTTGTGTTGTTTAAACGCAGATCAAGCTAATTATCCGGTCAAATCTTTCTTGAAGTGTTCTTAAAAGTACAGGGGAATGGATGAACTTTGAGGTTTTACTGTTAACTGCCTGGGAAATAACAGAAAGAAAGGAAGAAAAAAGAAAACTTGCCATAGAAATGCTCCCCAAGCTTGTAACTTTGAAGAGTTTAAATCTGGGTTGTGCCAGTTAAGAGGGGGCCACCGACAAAGGGGGGGAAGTTTCGAATCATCTATTCACTTTTGTTCCGTTTCGGGAAAAAAAAAAAGCTGGAAGTGGCGAACGACGTGAAAGGAGTGTTAAACAGCGGGCCCGTGTAAACGAACACACTTTTTTCTTTTTTGCCGTTTTGGACAGAAAGGGGGAGGAAATAGGAGAATAATGGGGAAAGAGCGGAGAGGGGAGAAGAGGAGGAGGAGGAGGAGGGGCCGCAACGCGTGATTCTGTCCATTCACATTTCCGAAGAGGTGTGGCGGCAGTCGCCGGTAGCAACCTCGTGAGGGCCCAGGACTTTGTGTCTGTGTGTGTGTTGGTGTGTGTTTGCGGGCATTACTGAATGGGCAGCTTGTTTGGCTAGCAAAAGAACCCCGGTGCTGGGAAAGACCAGGCCTCACAGGAATTCTGCCCCTCAAAAGTGGCCATTTTTAACTCTGCAAGAGCTCGATCTAACGTTTCTCTCTAATGGTCGTCATCTTTTGGAGTATTATCCCCCAAACAAGGAAGGAAATCATCGTCAGAAAGTCTCAATCCATCCAGTTTTCCATCTTTTTTAAAGTTGTAGTCACGTAAATCCTCGGTTTCTGATGGTAGTCGGTTCACTGAGTGCATTTTGAGTTTCCAATTTGCTTTCTTATTGCTAAACTGGATAACTTCAAGCTAACTTCAAACCAGGATTATCAGGAGACTCATAATTGACAGGTTCCTGATACTATAACTGTTTTGCCACCAAACACCTGCGAGCAAAAGACCTCTCAGCCTCTCGGTTTACGAAATTCCCCTCAAATCTTTGCGAAAGCCGAAGGAAAAACAAGAGGGCCGGTTACGACCCACATGCCTGTGGTCTTAACGGTCACATGAAAAGGCTTCCAAGCTTTTAGTTTGGGTTTTTGTAGGGTTTGCAGTACAAAGAGCTACTGTTCAGGGTAGTGTTAAAGTTAACTCGAATACATCCGGTCCAGCCCAAAAGCACCGTTCTTACTTTCTTTATTCGTGGCATCTTCTTTCACGTTGCACGCAAAACGGGCCAATCGAGAGGCGGGGAATACAGACCATTGTCACAAGCAAGTTAGGAATTGGAATTGGTTAGCTGATAGGGTCACACTCCCTGGCCTGTACAAATTCGGTTGTCTGTGAAAACCCGCACCTGTCGTGGGGTTTGTGCAGGTTTTGTGTTTTCGTACAAAACCCTAGATCAAGTCTTTGACCACTGAACAAACATCTTTGCTGCTAGTTAATGGTGTATTGCCACTTATCACCAACAATACTCACCCCCAACCGGCTGAGGCAGATGGCCGCCCACCCTGAGCCATGGTTTCTGCCTGTTAAAAGGAAGTTTTTCCTTGCCTGTGTCCCCTAGTGCTTGCTCATGGTGGGAATTGTTGGGTTTCTGTAATTAACTTCAGAGTAGGGTCTGACCTGCTCTGTTTGGAAAGCGCAGTGAGACAACTGTTGTTGTGATGTGGCGCTATATAAATAAAATTGAATTGAATTTAACTTCATCTTTCACTCTCCTTTCCCATCAACCTATCCCCATTTTCTTGTTTCTCGACCTAAAGATCATCTCTCCATCCCCGGGAGTCTAAATATTACCATATTTTATTGTATTTTTGCCATCAATCTTGCAATTAAGTCTGTTTTCCATGTCCATCCGTCTGCGTTGGGCTCAGAAAGAGACGAGCGCAACACTCAAAAGTTTCCCCAGGAAGTAGGCCCGGCGATATTCGTTTCAGTGCAGTGTGAGTAAAACAGAATCTCTCTTTAGCATATGCAGTAAAAAAAAAAAAAATGGGGGGGGATTTTGGCTTGTGTTGAAGCGATACCGCACGCTCAAATCGGAATTTCCCTACACATGCTTGTCGGAAAGAGATGCAGTATTTTTGGGGGGGAGGTTTGAAAGTGATTGCTGGGTTTTTGGTTCGAAACTTAAGAGGGTTACTTCTGATGGCCTTTCTTTTAAGGCCTGACCGGCTGAAAGGTTTTGCTCAAGTCTAAACGATCAAAAACAAGTTTGGGTTGTCGTATTTAACGAGCCATTTCATTGGCTTTTGGCAGACCGGAATTCGGTGGTTTGATGTTGTGACTGGAGCCAAAACAACAAGTCTGTTCCTCAAGGTTCAAATGGAGAATCTGAGCATGAAACCCGTCCGCTTACTGTAACTTCATTCCAAGAAAAATGCACTTTTAATCTGAGCTGCACGGTAAAATTGTCAGAACCTCCTTCAAAATTGGCTCCGGTGGCTTTTTATTGTGATTTATGGGAAGTCACTGTACGAAAATTATTTAATTATCACTTCAATAGAAGAAAAAAAAAAGAGGATTTCAGTGGAGAACATTTATCAAAACACAGATTAGAAGTCTGAAAGTGGATAATATGTCGATGGGCGTTTAAAAACTTCACCCCGGATCAAAACTGACACCTAAATTTGAATATAGCAAAGTTATTCAACACTAAATCCAGAACAATTAAGTAATCTCTTTTGGAAAAGAATCGCCGTTCCAACTTTGTTCCTCCCCTCAAGTGTTTGTGAATTATTCGCTGGCAGCCAGATGGCCCCCTCGGGGGTTTGGGAAGGCAAAGATCAGGCCTCAGTGATCCAGAACCGGGGCAAGGAGTGTTTTCCCAGCTTTGGCCGGCCAGTGGGGGCTCCAGCAACAAGAAAAAACACGTGCTCCGGGAAACTTTAGAGAGGCTTTGGCCTCGGAGCAACAAGTGTTAGTCGGAACGCGTTCGGTTTATTTTGCGTCCAGAAAACACTGTTCGCACTCGTTAGTAGTCACCTGGCATCTTGACCGGCCCCTCCCTCTCCCGGCTAATCCTGCTAACACCCCTGATCCGTGTAGAGCCTTGAATTATTGATGAATGCTAACAGCTAATCGATGTTTGCCTCTAGTGTTGCAATCTCCTGTTCCCTGCCGGCGAACACACACAGACACACACACGCACACAGTCAGCCTCTGATCCGCAGATACACACACACACACACAGACAGGGAATCACACACCTGTTAAGGTGCACGGTGGTTAAAAGCTTGTATATAGCCATGGACATTTTATATGTTGGAAATCCCAGTGGGAACGCTCTTTAGGAGATTAAATCTATCCTGATTTTGGTCCCGCCGCAATGCGTTTACACGTAAAGGTTTGAATGCACCTGACAATGACGAATGTGGCTTCAGTTTTAGAGTTAACAGTACAAAATAAAGGGTTAAAATGGATTAAAACCGACTCGATGGGAGTAAACCAGATGTATTTACCAAGTTTAAAACGGCATAAAAAGCTTTTTAGGCTTTTTGGAAAGTAAGACTGGACCCAACCCGTTTCTCTCCATTTCCAATGAGTTTAAACGGTTTATTTTATTTTATTTTTTTTTACTACCGGAGTAATAATTGATCTGACTACAAACTACAGGCCCCTCATTGGCCAGGGTTTGTCGTACTAACTGTTGTGGTGTTTGTGTCGCATAGAAATTAAGTCACTGGACTTTTTGGGGCGTCCTTCTGTTGTTAGGGCCAAGTGGGGGGCAGAAAAGGTCATCTAGGAGTAGAGTTATTGGGGGGGGTTGTATTTTTAATCTGGTCATGATGGAAGTTTAACATGATTTTCATACCTGCCTTAGAGTTAATTAAGGCTTAATTCAACGATGCTTAGGGTTTTTGATTATTTTTTAAGCATTTTTCGGTTGTACACCCACCATTGGGGTTAAACTGCACTGCGCAACATGCCCCCCCCCCAAAAAAAACCCCAAAACAAAACCAAAATGCTGTTTATTTTAAACCTTTTTGTTTCTTTGACTTCACCCTTTCCTCTTATCACGTCTGCCCTCTGTCACCCACAGTCCGGAGCACCTTTTGGGCCCACCCCTCTCTCTCCAAAAACGCAATCTTCTTTCGGGCCTTTGTGGCCCTGTCCGTTACAGTGACCGCTGATAATGGCGGTGGAGGGGTGGGGGGGGAGTTAGGAGGGTGATAAACCTGGAAAAGAGGCCGGCGCTGTCTGTGTGTCAGCTGATGTGTCAAGCAAGAGTTGGGTTCACTCAAGCTAGCCTTAAGAGGGCCACCTATTGCTTCCTTTTCTAATAGTAGATCAGGGGTGCTCACACTTTTTCAGCATGGGACCTACCCATTATATTTATTGAGAAATATATTGAGGATTCTTACTACCCATTCCGAACGAAAGTGATACGTTTTTTTTATTCTTACTTGGTGCAGCTCCCCCACTCATTTTCATAACCTGTCATGCGTTTAAGAGGAAAAAAACAAGCGAAAAATTAGGACGTAACTACCGACTAGCTTGTTAGCTTTGCTGATTGAACTAATTGTACGGAAAAAATCAGATGTCATCTGACTGGTTGTCCTGTGTATCAATCAAGTGACGGGACGGCTGATAGGCTGACTTCTAGTTTTTATTTAAAAAAACTCAACTTTATTTGTATAGCGTCAGTTCGTGACGATGTCACCTCACCTTGTCGTGCGATCTACCGATAGGACCTCGGAGATCAACCGGTAGATCGCGATCAACGTATTGAGCACCCCTGTCGTAGATCATTTCCAACTGTGAGAAAAGAATGTGTTGCAACACGAATTGGAATAAAAGATCATTGAAAAGAAAACTGAAAAAGAAACATTGAAAAGAAAACGTGTTGAAAAGAAAATGTGTTTTGTAGGCTCTTAGTGACGCACTCTTAGTGACGCACTCTTGTTCTTTTCACGCCTTAAATGAGGACGTAATTTACATAATAATAATAATTCTGCAATATTTCACGCAGAGAAGTCCTCAAACTTCCACAGTGTTTGCTCCTCCCTTTGGGTTCATCGTTGACTAAACGGGTCGAGCTAGATTTTGATTTTTTTTTTCCAACTTCGTGTAGGCATCTGTCAACTAAAGAACAAGCCGTGCTGGGCTGGAACCAGATGGAAACTAGTTAATTGAACAGCTATTAAACAGAAGTACACATAATCTGAGTAAAACCCATCCCTACGGAGGTCCGTTAGCAGAAGCAGATGGTGGCAATACCCGTAAAACAATTTTTTTCCCCCTTTTGGATTTATTCTGATTAAGTTGGTGCCAGTTTGTGGCTTTTTTTGGACCTGGATCTCCAGTGAGTCGGTGGATTGACCCACACAGAGTCCCTAAAAGATGCAAGGCGACAAAATGTCTTCGGGCACATCCGAAGCATTTCAGATGTCGGCTTCTCAACCTCAAAAGGAATTTGGATTGGGGGGGAAAAAGAAGAATCTTTTCAAATTTGGAGACGGATATAAATCCAAATGCTCTCTGAAATCCAGAGATAAGGCTCAAACCCCCTTGTTTTTTTTTCTTTTCCAGGAAGGACGAGAGCAGTATGAGCTGGCTGCAACCTCGGAGCAGGGCGGCAAGAAGAAGGCGAAGGGGAAGAAGAAAGAAAAGGACATGGACGAGCTGAAGAAGGAAGTGGATATGGTGAGTGTCTTTTGAGTGCCCCGGGACCCTCTGAATTAATAACCCATGTCATGACTAGATATCTAAAAAAAAAAGTAATTTTCAAGGATTTGATTTTGAATGCTAATGGCACTTTATATTCATGAACCTCTGCAAAGTGAAACATTTAAACTGCTTCTCCATGTTAATTGAGTTTCAGTGCGTGGGGATTCCGCCCACCTGTATCCGACCTAAAGATCCCTCACTCTGGTCCACCTCCTCTCCATCTTCTCCTCTGTTATATTTTTGTCCATTCAGTCCTCTCTAAATGTTTTATTTTTTTGCCATGGCTTTGCCATAGGAAGGGGGTAGTTATTGGAAAATAAAAGGTCAAAGAATGCGCTGTAAAATGTCAGCAGGTCTGATGCCGTCTTCTGTCTTCTGTTCCCCGTAGGATGATCACAAATTGACCCTGGACGAGCTCAATCGCAAATATGGAACAGACCTCAGCAATGTGAGTGTTATTATTTCGCGGTTTCCGTAGTTGATTTGCACACCTGAACTGTTTTGCACCTGCAGCTTTGAATGTCATCCTGTGAACCTGGTGGAAACTTATGGTAATTTTTATTTCTTTTTAAGTGTTTCCATCAGAGTGGCCACATTTATCATGATATCAGCTGGAGATGAACGCCAGAAACATTTACTATATAACTCTGACAGGTGGCATTCAGATGACTAAATATCCTGCCCGAGATGCGTTAAAGAGAGAGTATTGGGATGTTTTACTATAGATATACAGGGAGAATGACTAGCTGTTTTATTTAATTTTTTTTGTTTAATTAATTTTCAGTTTTTAAGTTCGACACCTACATCTGGATTTAATCGATTCACGTCAGGGCTGCAGTTCACAAATTACTCCAAATTTGAAAAACTAGATAGAATAAATAAGTATCCTTTGAATTTTCTATGGTATTGTATTCCGTCTCATTTATGTCACATCAACCTGTTGAACTGATCATACCGTCGATATATCTTTCACTTAAGAAAATAGTTGGTGGTTGTAAAAAAATAAAATAAAAACACATTAGATATCATATATTAGATGCATATTAGATAAATGACATACATTTCTGCACATGTATTTGTGAGTAAAGAAAAAAACATGTCACTGATTTTGAATTTTCATACAGAAGTACATCCTATGGAGGCTGCCCCAGAGGAGCCTACCCTCCTTGTGTAAATCTGCCCCTGGCCGTTCAGAAGCGATCAAAGAGAATTGTTAATCTGGGCCTCTAATTGGGCTCTGTCTGTGTATTGTGAATAATTTATAATCCGTGGAAGTCCCTCTGTCCTGATTTCTTTGGATTTTATGTTCATCATCTATTCTCAATCCATTGATGGAGGGATTGGTCCTGTTTTCCTGTTGATGCTGGGTTGCCAGGCAACTAGCAGTTAACACTGGCCCCCGTAGGCGCTATTGCGCAATCTCTGAGTTTGTAAACAAGGTGGATGAAACTTTCTTTCGCTTGGCTTTCATGGCGTCTCTCTCACCAGGGTTTGACGAGCGCAAAAGCTGCTGAGATTCTGATCCGCGATGGACCCAACGCCCTCACTCCTCCTCCGACCACCCCCGAGTGGGTCAAATTCTGCAAACAGGTAACGCCGGCTAAGAATTTTAGCCCCCAATAGTTTTCACAAACGGAGGGATAGACATAAAATGGAATTTTCTCCGTTCTCCTTCAGATGTTCGGCGGTTTCTCCATGCTGCTTTGGACTGGCGCCGTCCTCTGTTTCCTGGCTTATGGCATTCAGGCCGCAATGGAGGATGAGCCCGCAAATGATAATGTAAGAAAAAGATAGGGGTTAGGTTTGCATGATTAGGAAAGAAGCTCAATATGTGGTCATGTAGTAAGAAAAGAAGACAGCTCCTGAAGCTGAAGGTCTTGGAGACCTGAAACAAACCCAGTTCTTCGTGGAAATCTAAAGGCACAACACTGTCTCCCTCCAGTTGTACCTAGGTATCGTGCTGTCTGCTGTTGTCATCATCACTGGCTGCTTCTCCTACTATCAAGAGGCCAAGAGCTCCAAGATCATGGACTCCTTCAAGAACCTGGTCCCGCAGGTGCTCCTCAGTCGTTCAAGTTCCCGTTCATCCAGTTGTGCGCGATTCTGTCTCTCCTCCGCCTAAAGGGCCCGTCTTGTCTCGTAGCAAGCGCTGGTTGTCCGCGATGGCGAGAAGAAGAGCATCAACGCTGAGGAGGTGGTGGTCGGTGATCTGGTGGAGGTGAAAGGAGGAGACAGGATCCCCGCCGATCTGAGAATCATCTCTGCCCACGGCTGCAAGGTAGCATTCCCACAAGCAGCATCATTTCCACCTTACATTCTCTAAAAATGGGCTTCTAAAGTTTTTGAAGACACCATTTGTAGAAGTCAAAGCATACCTTGACAAATGAAATTTTTTTGAATGCAGATTTAACACAGATTTAACACAGTTCCAAGCACCGTTTCATTCATGTGATTCTTGTTCTTTTAAAAAAGGGGTCATACCCAGAGGAATATTGGAATGGGTCCTTTCCTTAGCTATTTAACCAGTTTTCCTACCCCCCTTGTGAAGCAAAATGTGGCCAAAGGTTGAAGTTTTTGATCTTTTCATCGATTACAAGGGCTGTCTTTCATTACTAGGTCGACAATTCCTCCCTGACTGGCGAGTCGGAGCCTCAGACGCGAACCCCTGACTTCTCCAACGAGAACCCCCTAGAGACCAGGAACATCGCCTTCTTCTCCACCAACTGCGTGGAAGGTATGAGGTTGGAAATAATCCAAACATATCAGGAAGAAAACTACCTCTAAGGAGCAGCTTGAAGTAAGAAGGACAATCTTTGCTGTAGGAACTGCCCGTGGTGTGGTGATCAGCACCGGAGACCGCACCGTCATGGGCCGCATCGCCACGCTGGCGTCCGGGCTGGAAGTCGGACGTACCCCCATCTCCATCGAGATCGAGCACTTCATCCACATCATCACCGGCGTCGCCGTCTTCCTCGGAGTGTCTTTCTTCATCCTGTCCCTCATCCTCGGATACACCTGGCTGGAGGCCGTCATCTTCCTGATCGGCATCATCGTCGCCAACGTGCCGGAGGGTCTCCTGGCCACCGTCACCGTGAGTCTCCTGACTTGGCTCCCCCTTAAAGCGTCACGCCATTAGATCTCTGCGCCGCTACCCAACTAAACCGGGTGACCCCGTCCCCAGGTGTGCCTGACCCTGACCGCCAAGCGGATGGCCAAGAAGAACTGCCTGGTGAAGAACCTGGAGGCCGTGGAGACCCTGGGCTCCACCTCCACCATCTGCTCGGACAAGACCGGCACCCTGACCCAGAACAGGATGACCGTGGCCCACATGTGGTTCGACAACCAGATCCACGAGGCTGACACAACGGAGAACCAGAGCGGCACCGCCTTCGACAGGAGCTCGGCCACCTGGGTGGCCCTGGCCAGAATCGCCGGACTCTGCAACCGGGCCGTCTTCTTAGCCGAGCAGGCAAACATCGCCATCCTGAAGGTGGGCTCCTGTTTCTCTTACCATCTCCATCAAGCTTTTGTTTATCCTCCAACACAGAAGGTGTAGGGTCAGGGATGTTCGTCTTTGTTTATCTTCCCAACGATGGCATCACCTGGTCAAATAGGTCAGACAAATGCCGTCTTTACAAATCTAACAAGCCAAACGTGCTTTACAAACTAAAAACCAAACAGAAGCTTTCCGTCAAGTTGTTTACTGTTTTTCTAGCAGGTTTTTGGACTTCTATCGGGATCACAACTAATGGAAATTGCTTCAGCTGTATCAAAAGGAGCCATTCATAGTTTTACTAACTTGTTTACCTCCCAGAAAAACAGGCTTGTTTTCCATCTTATGTTAAACTCCCTTGAGTGTGCACCGCTTACGCTGTTACTGTACGACTACTCAGAACTGCTCTGCTGAATACATTCACCCCTCGGTGTGCGGAGGTCTCATGGCTCTGTGGCTTTCCCCATGAGTCTAGCCTGTGGTTTCCACCCTGTTTTGACACTGTTACCATGTCCCCGCGTATCATGGTGTGTCGATTAGTCTCTAAACACCCGTTTGAGCTAAACGTCTTATCTGTTTCATCAATTTTCTTATTGTACTAAATTTCATGGCTAGTTTGGGATAAAAGAAGAAAAAAATAGCAATGTTTTATTTCTCTTGGAATAAAAGAGCTGACATGTTGCCACGATTATAATGTCCCCCCCGACCCTTTGACATCCTCCTCAGAGAGATGTGGCTGGAGATGCCTCTGAGTCTGCTCTACTGAAGTGTATCGAGCTTTGCTGTGGATCCGTCCAGGAAATGAGGGATAAAACCCCCAAAATCGCCGAAATCCCCTTCAACTCCACCAATAAGTACCAGGTTTGAGGACAGATTTAGTTTGTTTATTTTCTTTTGATGATTTTTCCTTTTTTTTTTTAATGGAAATTTACTGTCTCGCTTTCCATTCCCAGCTTTCCATTCACAAGAACGGAGCTGAAGGCGAGTCGAAGCACCTGCTGGTGATGAAAGGAGCCCCCGAGAGGATCCTGGACCGCTGCTCCACCATCATGATCCAGGGCAAAGAGCAGGCCCTGGACGAGGAGATGAAAGACGCCTTCCAGAACGCCTACCTCGAGCTGGGAGGCCTCGGCGAGAGAGTCCTGGGCTTCTGCCACTTCAACCTGCCCGACGACCAGTTCCCCGAGGGTTTCGCATTTGACATGGAAGAGGTGAACTTCCCCACCGAGAACCTGTGCTTCATCGGCCTGATGTCCATGATCGACCCCCCTCGCGCCGCTGTGCCCGACGCCGTCGGCAAATGCAGGAGCGCCGGAATCAAGGTGTGCTATAGGTCCCCTCAACCACGAGAAATCCCCGTAAAAGCGAGCACGGCTTTACTTTATTTGAATCTCCTAGGTTATCATGGTGACCGGTGATCATCCAATCACTGCCAAGGCCATCGCTAAAGGCGTGGGTATCATCTCGGAAGGCAACGAGACTGTTGAAGACATTGCTGCACGTTTGAACATACCAATCAACGAAGTTAATCCAAGGTAATAAACGGGGGCTTGTTGGAGAACCCCAGGTCCACATTCCGAGGAAAGTTTTCTCACAAACCATCTCATTTACCTCAACAAGGTCCGTCTTTACTCATAACACAGCGTTGTAGTTTGAGTTTAATCTCTTACCATTCCCCCCTTCAGAGACGCCAAGGCCTGCGTCGTGCACGGGGGCGACCTCAAAGATCTGTCTGCAGAGCAGCTCGACGACATACTGAAGTATCACACGGAGATTGTGTTCGCCAGAACCTCCCCGCAGCAGAAGCTGATCATCGTGGAGGGCTGCCAAAGACAAGTAAATGATAGACGAGTGTCACATAAAAAGGACTATTAGCTATCAGCTATCTAATCCTATACAGCTTTTTAATGATTCAAATGTTGGCTGGAAAAAAACCCCTTCATAGCTTCATCTGACAGATATGTTTTTTTTTTTGGTTATCTTGAGTCTTCTAACTCGATTGCATTTTGATGATTCTGGAAAGCCAACATGGCGAATTGTGTATTGGAGGAGGGACTAGTACCTTTACTTGCCTTATAAAAAATTTTCTTAGAGGGGTCTCTGAATAGGGCTGTATCTAACCACCTCTTTTCTCTCAGCCGATGCCGTCAAACAAAGTAGAGAACACTTTATACACACAGGACAGAATAGAGACGACGAATTGTAACTTAATCAGACGAATACATGTCCTGAATGTAGCTAAAAATTTCACACTTTTTAACTGCCTTTAACCCTCTATGCTCTCTCTGCGCAGGGCGCCATCGTGGCCGTGACGGGCGACGGCGTGAACGACTCCCCCGCCCTAAAGAAGGCCGACATCGGCGTCGCCATGGGGATCGCCGGCTCCGACGTCTCCAAGCAGGCGGCCGACATGATCCTGCTGGACGACAACTTCGCCTCCATCGTCACAGGGGTGGAAGAAGGTACTCCCCCCACCCCCCCCCATTTCTCTTTTATTTCTTTATTTTTTGGTCCGTCTGTCTATTTTTTGTATTTTGAAAGACTGGGCTCAATATCATTCCAAAGCACTTCCCACCCGTTCAGCTGTCGAGCACCCACAACATTCGCCGCCCTCTATCAAACTTGGGCATTTGTTTGCTCATTTTCTGGCACAATCGCATGTAAATGATCAGTTTGGAGAGAAATGAGAGTTTCAGTCTTTTAAAGGCCACACGGAGTCATCGTTCAGTGGTCTTTGGTGAAAGATGAGTGAAAAATTCTTATAATTTCGGTCGTAAAAAGCGCTAAACTCCCGACTCTGTGGGCTGTTCGCTTTCTCTCACCAGGCCGCCTCATCTTCGACAACCTGAAAAAGTCCATCGCCTACACCCTGACCAGCAACATCCCCGAGATCACGCCCTTCCTCTTCTTCATCATCGCCAACATCCCCCTGCCCCTGGGGACCGTCACCATCCTCTGTATCGACCTGGGAACCGACATGGTACGGACGCCATCAGGAGGGACTCTGATCCTGTTTTCCCGCACATTTCTTTGAAAGTCTGGCTAACTTTGGGGCCCCTTCCCTTCCCCCCCCAGGTCCCCGCCATCTCCCTGGCTTACGAGGCGGCCGAGAGCGACATCATGAAGAGGCAGCCCCGAAACCCCAAGACGGACAAGCTGGTGAACGAGAGGCTCATCAGCATAGCCTACGGACAAATCGGTAAAAAACCAAGAAGCTCTTCACCCTAAACCAAACATGAACCAGAATCGAGGGGAGCGGGAGCGGGAGCTTTCCCCTGAAGGGATTTCCTTTCCTGGAAAAGGCCGCTCGGTGTCTGGGTGGTCTGCGATAACGGGGAGAGAGCGGCACTCGCCATAAATAGCCTCTCGCCGATTGCGAACTGGAGCTTTGGCGCGCAGCCTTTTTATTTATTTATCTAACTCGTTTATTCAGTTTTCTTTCTCTTTGATAACAAATCCAGGAATGTTTCTGGCTCTATAAGAGAGTATGACTAGACGGTTTTTGGTTTGCAGCTTAACTTTTCTACTCTTTGACTTTTAAGTAGTATTAATGGGCCCACTCTTAAGAGTTAGCAAGTAGATACATATATAAATGTGGGACCGGCCCCCTACAGCTTAGCGGGTTTCTAAATTATTTGATTCCCTCCTGCAGGAATGATCCAAGCGCTGGCCGGCTTCTTCACGTACTTTGTGATCCTGGCCGAGAATGGCTTCCTGCCCTCCACCCTGGTGGGCATCCGGGTCAACTGGGACAACAAGTACATCAACGACCTGGAGGACAGCTATGGGCAGCAGTGGGTCGGTCGCTTTTTTTTATCGGGGGAACCTCTTAGCCGAAAGGGTTTCTTTCCAGGTTGGGGGGGGGGGATTTCATACCCGGAAGGCGGCCTGCTGACTCTGGCGAATTATCCCCCCCCTTGCTTTTCACAGACTTACGAGCAGAGGAAGATCGTGGAGTTCACCTGCCACACGGCCTTCTTCGCCAGCATCGTGATCGTCCAGTGGGCCGACCTGATCATCTGCAAGACCAGGAGGAACTCCGTCTTCCAGCAGGGCATGAAGTGAGTAGCGGACCGGGCCCCGAGCGTCGGTCGGCTAGCTAGTCACTGCTAGGCTAGCTAGTCACTGCCAGGCTAGCTAGTCACTGCCAGGCTAGCTAGTCACTGCCAGGCTAGCTAGTCACTGCCAGCCTAGTTAGTCACTGTTAGGCTAGCTAGTCACTGCCAGGCTAGCTAGTCACTGCTAGCTAATTATGTGGGATTAAAGTCCGATCCCACATGAGTATTAGCATCTCCTAACCCTCAGGTCTGTGTCCTAACCATTAAGTTGTTGTCAGAGTAAATCACTGTTCAACATGAGTCTGACAACTAAGTAGATAGATAGCTTTAGACTTTAATACATGCTCTGATAGGCCGGTATCGGTTCGAAAGTGCAAAAAAGCTGGATCGGGACATCCCTAGTCACTTGCCGCCGAACGCTTTGGCCCCCCGACACCCGTCCGACTCCTCTCTCTCTCTCCTTCTCTCTCTCTCTTCCCCTCCCCCTGCTCGTTCCAGGAACAAGATCCTGATCTTCGGGCTGTTTGAGGAGACTGCCCTGGCTGCTTTCCTCTCCTACTGCCCCGGCATGGACGTCGCCCTCCGAATGTACCCTCTGAAGTAAGCCCACCCCTCCAGACTCACGCCGCGCCCTTCCCCCCCGAGAGACGCCGGATTTCATATCTCTCCGTGTGCTTGTTTTCCAGGCCCAACTGGTGGTTCTGCGCCTTCCCATACTCCCTGCTCATCTTCATCTACGACGAAATCCGTAAACTGATTCTCAGACGCAGCCCAGGAGGTGAGTTCGGAATTCATGCTTTTGTTATCTTTCCTACACCCCCCCAACCCTCCCGACGAGAGGATGGTTTCAAACCCTCGGGGGCTCTTTTCAAAACCCACAGCCTTTTTAAGGGAAAGAATTTACCCAAACATGCCCGGCATACTCAAAAGTTTGCATCTAAATCTCGTCTATCCTTGTTCTTCTTTCTCCTTTTTCCAGGCTGGGTGGAACGGGAGACCTACTATTAAAAGACCCCCCCGGCCAGTCCGCGTCCTCTCGTCCATTCCCGTCTTTGCATGAATATTGTCTTGCTGCTCGGAGTAAAAATTTTAACCTCTGTGAAAATAAAATCGGAATGTGTTTTTATATTAGGGAATGCTTGATACTACTATTTAGACAAAAGTACTGAGTCGGAACGTGCCGATGTCGGTAAATGACAATGCTAATTATGACACGAACACTGAACATTTGACACGACTATGCGTGCCTTGTTTCTGAAAACAGGACCAATTTTATACATGTTTTTAACAGTTATGAACGTTCAATAAAAATGCGCTCGAGTCAGGTCCCAAAAGCGATTCCTGTCCTCATTTATGTGTCGCGTGTTGTGGTTTCTACTTTTTCTACTTTTATCTGAGCCTGTCTTCATAAAGCTTTTTTCACAAACACAAATGCATGCCAAACGTCGACCACAAATGAAGGTATTCTCACTCTATGCTAGAAGCTACAAAGACAAATGTTAAAGGTTTAAATTGTACGGTGTTTAGCACTTTGTTAGCATCGGCCCAACTCGGATTTTCTCCTCTCACTACCTTTTTTACTGCCATTTCTAAAAGCTGAAAAGCTACATTTGATAGTGTTCGTCCATCTTTTCTGCTGGGGGAGGCCATTTCGATGACCACTATCCCCTTTCTGGCCAAAAAAGAAGCAGCTTATCCCAAGGAAAAAGGCATAAAGTTCGAAATTGCTCATTCCCTCTCTGTGTTCTCTCTTCAAGATGCAATAGATATTCTTTTTAGTAATGACTCAGACCTTTTGACATAAATTGGGTGGGTTAATGGCATAATTAACTCCTCTAAAAGGAAAATGAACAGGAGCAACCTCTTAAATAAATGTAAAATTCTATTTTTTTTTTCCCCGACCCATACGACCGACTCGCTGTAGATCGTCTGTAAACAAGGCAGTTAAATACTTCCTTTGTTTTTTTTTAATACCACAAACCCTGTTGGCATTTTGGATTTAGCCGAGCCATGCTTGCAGTAGTTTAAATCGGCCCAAGTCTGATTTGCTTTCGTTTGAGGACAGACGTACACCTAAAATAGTGTTTTCCTATGCTGTTCATGGGTCAATAAATATAGTTTCCAAAGAGGCCTCATTGCAAGTGAAAGTGGCTGAGAAACTACAGTTAAATCTGTATTAAAATGGGAAATCCAGAATACATTTAGTGTGATAGGGTGGACAGATTAAACCAATAAGCTTATTGAAGAATTACAGGGGATGAAGACACGATTTAAACCCTCTTGTCTGTCTAATGGGATCCCAATGGATCTTCTTAACATAAAGTTGCGGGTTTTTTAGGGAAAAGCAAAGTTAAGACTCACACGTGGTGCACTTTCCCACAAGGAAACGCACACTGACTTCATTAGATAAGTTCAATGAAGTGGTGACTTTGCTCAAAGCCTTAGCGACAATCAAAGCCGACTCATTTACTCCAAATTACTTGGCGTTAAGTAGAAGGGAGCCCCAGGCTATTGCTGCAGAGTACATTCTCTTCCTTACAGAACCCATAAAAGTGCACATTTAAGGGCATAAATGGAAAGCAAACAGGGAAACTGCCTACATTTTGAGCTTGATAGATGAAAAAAAAAAGTTCTAAACAAAAGAATAAGGAAGAATAGTTCTTGGAAATATATATATATATAAATACATATATATTTGGCACCTTGAAGTGCTAAAATTCAATCTGAAAATCTAAAAGAATTTAAGAATTTTTGTATCTCGGACTGTTGCGTGAACTCACGACAATAGGGTGGCGTTCCAAAGATCAAGGGCCTATATTTACCAGTTTACTATTAGATTTTTTTAAAGTAGCAATGCTCATCTTCCACTTCGACGTTCAGCTGGAATGAGCATTAATCATTTGTCACCATTTGTATTGATCTTTTCTAACAGAGAAGTCTCAAACACCAGCCCTCAATGGTAACTTTTGGTCGAGAGGTCTTTCTTAAAGGATTTTTTAATATGAACTTTTCTTTGTTCTGTTAACTATCTCAAACCAGGCAAATGAAGCCTGTTAAAAGGAAGTTTTTCCTTGCCTGTGTCGCATAGTGCTTGCTCATGGTGGGAATTGTTGGGTTTCTGTAATCAACTTCAGAGTAGGGTCCGACCTGCTCTGTTTGGAAAGCGCTGTGAGATGACTGTTGTTGTGATGTGGCGCTATATAAATAAAATTGATTTGAATTGAATTGAAGGACCAGATTCGGAAAACTCGGCTAAGTTGCATCAAAGGTTAGATTTTACCCAGAGAAATGTTTGTTTCCTTGTTTTTGATGCTTTCATTTTGACGGCCTGAGCCGAAGAAAACCCTTTAGTACCATTGATTAATATCGTTACTCGATCATCAAAATTTGACGCGTTTCCTTTTACCGTATAAAACTAGAGAACATTACTAGATATCAAGATTTGTATTGATCTTTTCTAACAGAGAAGTCTCAAACACCAGCCCTCAATGGTAACTTTTGGTCAAGAGGTCTTTCTTCAAGGATTTTTTAACATGAACTTTTCTTTGTTCTGTTAACTATCTCAAACTAGGCAAATGAAGCCTGTTAAAAGGAAGTTTTTCCTTGCCTGTTTCGCCTAGTGCTTGCCCATGGTGGGAATTGTTGGGTTTCTGTAATCAACTTCAGAGTAGGGTCTGACCTGCTCTGTTTGGAAAGCGCTGTGAGATGACTGTTGTTGTGATGTGGCGCTATAAAAAAATAAAATTGAATTGAATTGAATTGAATTGAAGGACCAGATTCTGAGAACTCGGCTAAGTTGCATCAAAGGTTAGTTTTACCCGGAGAAATGTATGTTTCCTTGTCTTTGATGTGTTCATTTTGACGGCCTGAGCTGAAGAAAACCCTTTAGTACCATTGATTAATATTGTTACTTGATCGTCTAAATTTGACGTATTTCGCTTTTACCGTCTAAAACTAGAGAACATTACTAGAGATCAAGATTTGTATTGATCTCTTCTAACAGAGAAGTCTCAAACACCAGCCCTCAATGGTAACTTTTGGTCGAGAGGTCTTTCTTCAAGGATTTTTTAACATGAACTTTTCTTTGTTCTGTTAACTATCTCAAACCAGGCAAATGAAGCCTGTTAAAAGGAAGTTTTTCCTTGCCTGTGTCGCCTAGTGCTTTGCATGGTGGGAATTGTTGGGTTTCTGTAATCAACTTCAGAGTAGGGTCTGACCTGCTCTGTTTGGAAAGCGTTGTGAGATGACTGTTGTTGTGATGTGGCGCTCTATAAATAAAATTAAATTGAATTGAATTGAAGGACCAGATTCGGAGAACTCGGCTAAGTTGCATCAAAGGGTTAGATTTACTAGGAGAAATGTTTGTTTCCTTGTCTCTGATGGGTTAATTTTGATGGCCTGAGCCGAAGAAAACCCTTCAGTACCATTGAGTAATATCGTTACTCGATCGTCTAAATTTGACGAGTTTCGCTTTTATCGTCTAAAACTAGAGAACATTACTAGAGATCAAGATTTTCTGTCAGCTTTTTAAAGAGACTCTCTGAAAATGAGACATCACAGAAGGTCAGCTTTCTTGTGACTTTGTTATGCTGAAATGCGCTGATGTCCCATGAGACTGTTAGCCAGTATTTACTCTGTTTAACGTCAAACGTCTGTGGTTCCGTCTATAAATGTCATCCGTCCGGCGCTTCACGCTCCACCGTTGGAAAAAAACTGCTTCTTTCCCCCCTCAATGGTCCAACCTGAAGATTGAGGACCAGTAGAGAAGAATAGCACCGCTAAAATTTACCGTCAACACTGCGAATTCACTTTTGTTTTTGCTATTTATGTCCCATTTGTCCCCCTGAAAGAAGCTTCAAGATAAAACTGAAAAATCAAAATACCCATTAAGTTAGTTTGACGTTTAACCGCAAAACAAGGAACCGGTTTGTTTTTTGTCTTTACATAATATAACTGTTATGTAATATAATCATCTTTCAGAGGGAGTTTTTACAATATATTTTAAAAATATCTGCAGTCCAGATACTGTATATCATCTACAAATTTAAATAATTTTCCAATCGTAAGTGAAGAACTAGCGTTAAGTCACCAAACTGGGAGCTGAGTCAAGAGAAAAGGAGAGCCAGAAAAACAAAAGAAAAGGAAAAAATAACTCTGCCGGGGAGAGAACGTTCAGTCAGAGCCTTGAATAAGGTTTTCAGGAAGTAGTTTGTTCTTCTCTACTCGGTCAACGTCACCGTCTCTGGCTCGCACATTTTCCACTGCTCTCGGCCAACTCTCTCTCTCTCACACACACACATACACACACACACACACTCTCACTCTCTTCCTCTGACAAATCAGATTCAACAGTTAGGCCTCTGTAACACACCAGTGCACATCAGTAGTCGCCCGGTGCTTCACAACCGGCAAAAAAAACAACAAAAAACTATCTCTGCCAAGGAGGAGAAGAAGAAGAAGAAGGAGAAGGAGAAAGAGAAGAGGAAGGGGGAAGGGGGGCTAGTATTGGCTGCAATTGAGAGCCCCGCTTTGTTCCCCCCCCCCCCCAGTGTGCGATTGAGCCGTTTAGTGGATGGACGGCGAGGCTGGTGGCGCCGGCTCGTTGCCGGACCCGACACGACGAGAGGACGCAGAACCAGAACTCACCGATCGGTCAGACGTGGGTCGACTTGTGCTGTTTCATTTTTTTTTCTCGTGTCCGAGTGAAATGTTCTCATCGATAATGATAATGAAAAATAAATAAATACAATTAATAAAAATTAAATAAGAAAAAATAATAAGAAAAGAAAAGAAAAAAAACACAAATAAATAAAAATAAATAAAATGAATAAATAAAAAAAGATAATGAGAATGAGAAAAAAATAAATAAATAAATAAAATAAAATACAATAAGAAAAATAATAAGAAAATAAAATAAAAATGCAAATAAATAAAAAAATATAACAAAATAAATGAAAAAGATAATGAGAATGAGGAAGAAATTAAATAAAATAAAATAAGAAAAAATAATAAGAAAAGAAAAGAAAAATACAAATAAATAAAAAAAATAATAAAATAAAATTAAAAAAAAGATAATGAGAATGAGAAAAATTATAAAAAAGCAGGGTCCACAGGCCGGGACTGGTTTCTTATGAACTGATACAATGTAAACGTCTTAAACCTGTCATTTTGCATTGGGCCGCATTTTTCTTTTTGTAATATCAGTGGGTTATGTCACTGTCAGTGGGTGTGAGTGTCGTAGAAAAGAAAGGAGTCACCTCTGGAAGGGAAATGGAGACTCAGGCTATCGCATTACAGATGTTTAGATTGGTACTTTACCCTCTTTTCTTCTCTTA